TTCATTTCTCCAGGCAAAATGTTTTTTTTTTGTAACAATGTTTATAAACAAAAGTAAAGAATGTCTTTAGTTTTTCAGACACTTATAAATATACTTGTCTTATGAATGAGTGTCTGTTAATCTCTCTCTCTCTCTTATATATATATATATATATATATATATAAAAATGACAATAGGAAAACTAGTAATTGCTGATGTGTTTCATCCAATGTGGACTTTATCAAAGCAAAATACAAAATGAATTTAATTGAACAAGGTAACTAATAAAAACAAAAACAGAATGTTACTAGCAACTGGAATGTAGAGAAACACAACAGATTCATAAAATCAAAAGAAAATGGTTGAATACATCAACACAGATATAATGACAATATTCTCCACACATGACAAATACAGACGTTATTTTCAGTTAACAATATGAAAATAGCATTTCTCTACATTCCAGTTGCTAGGAACATTCTGTTTTTTATTCTATTTTCCTTGAATACAATAAACATTTAATAATAATAATAATGCCATGTTATTTGATGTAAATATTTCTTTCTTTTTTTTTTTATCCAGATACCAATAGCTGTCACATTAGTAATGGAGGTTGCAGTGACTATTGTCTTCAGACACCACTTGGGGCACAGTGTCATTGTCCACCTGGTGAGAAATTGAATGGGTCAAAATTGTGCATTGGTAAATATGGATTAAATAAATCTTGGTTTTACTATGAGATTTATTTTATTAAAACTTGTTGAATGTTGTTTCCATTTAGAAATATTCTGAAAAAATCATTAGCCAAAGCGACAAATCTTATTTCACAGATCAATGGAAAAGTTTCTGGCATATTTTTTTCTTAAACTTTTTTTATATAAATACATACCATCAGTATTCAGTATTTTCCCTGGGGGGTGCAATGACCTTATGCCAACTTCCAACTAAAGTGGGATTTTTTATCTTATTAGCTTCATACAAAGATTTTCAGCATTTATTTGATAAAATCTTTTATTTATATATATATATATATATATATATATATATATATATATATATATATATATTCATAGCATCATTATTTAGTAATCAAAGAAAATAGGGAAAAAAGGAGGGGAGCACAGTATCAATAATGCTTGCATTCATTCCTGACAATTGACAATCCCTTTCTTCCTGATTTTCAATGCATTTTTATTGTAAAATCATTAGCAATGCATTTACATTATACATATAATAGGCCTATTCTATCGGTAATGCTTGCATTCATTCCTGACCACTGACAATCGCTTTCCTCCTGATTTTCAATGCATTTTTATAGTAAAATCATTAGCAATGCATTTACATTATACATATAATAGCCCTATTCTATCAGTAATCATTCATTCCTGACCACTGACAGTCTATTTCTTCCTGAGAAATGGAAACAAAAAAACACTAAACTTAAGCATAGGTGAATATTGTTGAAATGTCTAGGTCACTTAATGTGGAATAATGGTTTAGAATATTTGATAAGACAAAATGAAGGCAAGTATGTCTGAATAAACAACACCTCTACTGAGAAAACCTGAGTGAATGGAAGGTTTTAAAGGTTTAGGAAAGATGACAAAAAGACAAGATTTGTTAAGAGTTAAAAAGGACAAGAAATTGTGGAGAGCCATGATCACCAACGGCCACCTTTGTTGTCAATTGGCAGTGGCATGTAGAAGTAGTAGTCAACTGCTAGAAGTGAGTCAAGTGAATTCCACAATGAATCTCCAACTGCAGACCAACATACAGTATTTACTACTGTATTTATGGGAATGGGAGCATACCCATTATTGTCCATCAGTATGCCACAACATAAAGTGTGTTAATTTCTGTGTTTAAGTAATCTATTGCATTTTCCTGCAGTTCTGAAACCGAGTTTCACATACTTCTTCTGCCCCCATGCTATGGGTTTAATAGTAGGGGTTATATCTGAAAAGAAATAATATCTCAAAAAATAGCTAATATTGGATTGGCCAAAAAGATTCTTACAATCCAATAATCTTTTTACTTTAAATAACATACAAAAGGTTGATAAACTGTAAGAGAATCAATCAGTCAATCAAACAATCAATCAATCAGTCAAACAATCAAATGATGATCAATCAACAATCAATCTGTCAATCAAACAAACATCAATCAATTGATCATCAATCAGTCAATCAAACAACAATCAAATGATGATCAAATAACAATCAATCAGTCAATCAACAATCAATTGATCATCAGTCAATCAAACAACAATTGATTGATCATCAATCAGTCAATCAATCAGTCAAACAACAATCAAATGATGATCAATCAATAATCAATCAACAATCAATTGATCATGGATCAGTCAATCAAGCAGTCAATCAATCAATCAAATGATGTTCAATCAATAATCAATCAGTCAATCAACCATCTGATTATTGTCTTTTCAGATCATTGCATCGTTTTTTAGTTTGGTAATTATGGAAAGATTAATTGCATCCAAACTGAAATGATTTTACACTGG